TTTCTCTCTCTATCTATCTATCTCTATCTGTCTGTCTGTCTGTCTGTCTGTCTGTCTGTCTGTCTGTCGCTCAGACCGAGGTGTTTCTGCTCTCGACTTGCCTAGTCGAGACGAGTAGGTGTGCGCTCTCATCGATAATTAAATCGTCCACGTAACGGAGCAAATTGCCGAGGAAGGGAGAGGCAAAAGACGCGCTCGACGGTGCGAATTCGAGCGATTGAGACGAGAAAAGAGCTGGACCAGGTAGATTTGGAGAGAGAGAGAGAGAGAGAGAGAGAGAGAGAGAGGGAGCATGGGTATGTACGGCGGTTCGTTGCATTATGTAGAAGCTACGTTTCTACTGCAAACGATCGAATGAATGCGATATTGTCGTCGACCGCGTCTACATCGTTACGTGATGGAGTTTTGTGTCCCGTGGTAACTTGCCCCTTCTTCCGAATCCCCCTCCCCAACACAACCGACCCCACCCCACTGCCGTCCGCACTCCCACGACAGTGCTTAGATCGGGTCGGAATAAATTAACTCAGCGTGAGATTTAACGTAGAGTGAGTAGGGTGGTGAGCATGAGATGGGGCAGATTTCGTGAGGTAGGTGGGTGTTCGGGGAAGGGCGACGGATGAAAGGTGGAAGATGAAAAGAGAGAAGAAAAACAAAACTTGCGCTGGAATCGCGGAATATCAAGAAACAGGGATACTTTGGCCCTTAGGCAGTTCTTCATAATAAATTCATATCTCCACAAGCATACCACCCTTCGAATTTTCCCTCTTCGTTCCATTCCATCATCATCCTTCCAGGCTTTTCCTTTTTCCGCCTTTGCTGAGTATTTTGGATGCCATGGCTGCTCTTTGAGAGAAGAAGACGGGATAGAGAAGCTCCGTGCCGTAGCGATGGGGGGAGGCAAAGTGGAGCGACGGGAGTCCAAACGGGGAGGGGAAGAGGACAAGCTCACTTGGTCCAACGACAAATCTCTTTTTTATGCCGCATAATAAAACTCGCCTGACATATCTCTGACTGCCACCACTTAATTTTCGTAAGAGCCACGCTCCGTGGTTCACTTGACTTCGCTTGATTTTTCTACTCCGCTATCTTTTCCTCTATTTCTTCGTCTTTACCCTCTTTATCCACTTCCAATGACGGCCTGTTCCTCTGAATTGCATTCCTTTTAACGTATCGCTGTATTCTTTTATCCGGGTATCTTTGTCTTTTTTTCTCTCTTTTTTTTTTACTCACGAGTTCTTTTATTTAGTTTGTCGTTCTTTACCCGTGAAGAGGATTTTCTTCACTGGCAGCTAAAGGATACTAGTAACCTTAAAGCATTATTCGCTTACGCATCCATATTGCTATTGTGTATCTTATTACATTTTGCTTTATCTTCTTCCAGCTCTAATTCTCTTCTTTACCATTGCTTTTATGCGTGAGAATTTTAAATGAAAAATATTGTACGTAGGATTTAACATTTTCGCTTTTCAATATAAGAATGATTGGCGATGGCGAGGAAGCATTGAGAAAAAGAGCAGATTAGTTAATTCTTTTGTAGGAAATATTCAAAGGATTCGTGGCTGGTATTCAAAAATAAATAAGAGCATTGATATTTATGCAAATGCGGTAAATCTGTATGACACACGCTAAAACAAATTCCAAAATCCATGTGATTTTTAAGCTAAAAAGCTCATTGAATTAAGGGTATAATTTTAAATAAATTTTATAATCAAAAGTTTCTATACTGGAATTAAATGACAATAAAACAGTTTTCTATTCGATGAAATTCGAATTTTAAAAGTACCGATTTGATAGAAGGCCATTGCCCTAACCCTTTGACTCATGCAACAGCGAATCTGAAGATCGGATCAAGTACGTCATCAACGAAGGCAATCGTCGGCTCTGTCCATTTCCTCTCATGTCAAGTGCGAAGGGCGAGACGCATTTGACTGGATGGCTCGTACATTCGCATTTTTCAGCAATTTTTCAGGTCTTTTATGCTAAGCGCCACAATTTATTTGAATGGTTTTAATGCGAAAAACCGATGCACACTAATGGACGACAGAGGCATTCCATTTCTCTATGGGCGTTTTTATTTCTAATATATATGCATGAACCACGCATATATGTATATTGCATCCAATGAACTTTCATCAGCACACACATATGCGTATTGCGTGTACTTAAAAAAGTTTGTTGTAAGGTGTAGGCGCAATTTGACTCCGACACTGTTCTTTACACCGTATCACACGCGAACTCTCATTTTTAAATTTTACTCTTAGCAATTATTTGTGTTGATTGGATAATTATGAGTCTCATATATCTTGATTATAAATGAAAAGCTTCATAGTGAAAAAACTCTTACTTGTGAGTGAAATGATGATATCGTCTCTATATGATCACATGTGTGTGTGTGTGTGTGTGTGTGTGTGTGTGTGTGTGTGATTATATATATATATATATATATATATTCCCGTAAACTACGAAGTTGGTAATTTCTGTTTATATACTATTACGTGTATATTGTAGTAAGTATAAAAGTTTGATAATATTTTACGTGTAGAATATTATAATTTCTAAAACAGTAATTACAATGATATATTAATTATGACATTAAGATATTTATAAATACGTTTTTGTTACCTACGAGAAAAATCTTTCTTGTTAGTTGGCAATATGGAAGCCGTTTCTACTTAGAACTATTACAATCCTAAAATTCTTTTTTATCGGTCAACAATGTTTCACCTATTATACTAATTTATATAATACTTAAATTAATGAACACCTAAGAATTTCCTTTCACAATTATTTCAATAGGGTGTAAGGATGGATAAAAATTATTTTCTACTTTTTATAACGCTTTTTTTATTACGAAGAGTAAATTTTCATTCAATATTTAGAATTTTTTTTAAGGAAATTACAAATAAGAATGGATGTGATTTTCATTGGAGCAAAAGGAAAAATAAAAATAAATATAAAATACAAAATATGTGCGAATATCATTCATTGAAGTGAAAGCAACACGACGGATTAACATAACTAATGTGAAAGTATATTTAAAGGTAAAATTACACTTCTTGGTATTATAATGAATTTTATATGTACGTAAAAGTAATAAGAAATAATGTCGCTGAAAATAAAAAGTCACGGATTATTTTATAAACAAAACAGTTTTTAATTCACTCTTTACCACACACATTGAAGAAAATAATATATAGCTAAAGCAATATAATATTATATACTGAATAATGGAAACGAATTAATTTTGTACGTGTTTAAATTTATTTCGCATAAAATTCATTCATTAATGAAAAATTATGCAAAATAATAAGTGGACAGCGTGAACATATTTTATTTGATAAAAAAAAAAAAAAAAAAAAAAAAAAAAAGGGGGTACGAAAATACATTTGTAACACATGTGTATGGGAATATAACTATATTAGTAACATCGAAGTTATGCTTTGTGCCGTACAAGAATAATTATTATACTTCTGTATATTTTATTATACAAAAATTTCGTATCTTTTAAAGTATTAAAATTTAATTTTTATGGAAATATTATATTTTTTATCTAAGCGACAATTTTGTAGCTTATTAGTAACTATCCAGATGTTCTAATAATCTAAAAACTAGATTATATACATGGATATAAAAACGTCAAATTAATATATAAATATTTCCGTTTGTCAATATTATTTGGAAAGAATCTATAACTTTAAATTTGAAATTTCATACTCAACAATATGCAGAGAATTAAAAATATTTCATAAATAACAACTTATAATTTATTACTAATCATTAATATGCTTTCTGTACCCATTTTTTTTTTTCTATCATATAAATTGATTATTATTATGGGTATTCAATAATCCTACTGATATTAATAATCGATTAAAAAAATAATTGACAATTTTACATTTAAATGTAATATTTAAATATAATTAATTGTTTGATTAAATTAAAATTCTTTTTATAATTAATACTTTATATAAATACTATTTCCGAATATATTAGATTTAAACATATAATAAAATTCAACTATTATTGCTATTTAAATTAAATTTATATATCCGTCACATACAGAGTTTTAAATAAATTATGATTTTATAAAATATATATTTTCATATAATATGAAAATATTTTAAATTTTTCAAAAAAAAATTAATAATCATTGCTTAAATACAAATGGGAAGTTTAAATTAAGTATTTTTTGCAACATTAAAGAGTATCGTCACAATATAAACAAATTGAATTAGAAATTTGAATAATAAGCAGCAAGCAACTCATTAATTACAATTATTTGTCGATTTGTAGATTTAGACGCCGCCCAAATCTCAAGAATCATTAACGGATCCATTGCAAAACCTTCAGTACTACTTAATCTCATTTCGCGCAAAATAAATTAAGTTCGCACATAATGTAGCAATAAATAAATACCCATATAATGATAAATTTAGAAATAACGATAAAACGAGGAAAGACATTTGTTCAAAATATCCAAATGGATCATGAATAATTTAATATTTACAATTGTCACTCAAACACGGTAAAGTATTTTTTTTTCACACTCTCTATTAATATTTTATTTTAATTCATAGTGAGAATGCAAAGTAGCTAACAACGTAACGGTTTTTATTAGAATTTTGTTTAATAAAGAGGAATTATTCCTAATTCGGATATTTGTATTTTAAATTTTCAACTACATGACATCAATACTCATGTATAATATTGTGAAAATCATATTAAAAGAAACGTGCTGCGCAAGAAAAATAATAATAATAAACAGAGAAATTTAATATTATCGGCTTGTGGAGCATCAAAGATTTCGTTAGGTTTCAATTTCTATCCTGTTTGTGCATTGAATACTAAACATGTCCCTCGACAGCTGACAAATGCTTTTTCCACTTTGTCGTTAAATACACAGGAAAAAAATATGGAAAAATGGATAACATCTGTTGAAGGTAAGTGTGCGTGTCTTAAAGTAGGAATGCTCGTAAGACGATGAGAAAGAAGTAACTCACCATAGAGACGAATGGTACCCTCGGTCTCGCCTCTTGGATTTTTTGCTACGCACTTGTAACTGCCGTAGTCCGATTTCTGCAAAACAATTAAAGTTATAACATTAAAGTTAGCTTCGGCTTTCAAAAGTTCTCGGGCAGCCATGAAAAGCGACGTACAAAGCAACGAGCAGCGCGCAAAAAAGTGTGAACAAAAAAGAAATGCAGGACAAAAATGCCGTTAGTGAATGGTGTGTTGGCGATACCGCGCGATAGGGGTAGAAGTGTTGAGAGCGGGATGAGGGAGAGGGGGAGGGAGAGGGAGAGGGAGAGGGAGAGGGAGAGGGAGAGGGAGAGAGAGAGAGAGAGAGAGAGAGAGAGAGAGAGACAGAGAGAGAGAGGGATGGTGGAGGGGGGGGGGAGGGAAGGGGATTCAGAAACAGACGGAAAACCACTTGTATGGAGGTTCTCGAAACAAATCTGGTGTGTCCCGAAGGAATCGATAACGCAACGAAAATGTACATCGATGCACGAGCGCGCTTGGCTTTATTGCTGGTCGTTAAGCAATCGCAGGTGGTGCGGGACGTCAGGGGGTAGGTGGGTGAGAAGGTGAGGCGATTGTGGCCGATGGGGTGAGGAGGGGGGTGGGGGTGGGAAGGAGGAGGACAGGAGGAGTCCCCGAGAGCGTCGAGACGTCGGATAAGTTCGCGAATTGCGATCGTTTCACTGCGCCACATTTATTTCTCCTTTCTCCCGCGCCGTCGCTTTCCTCTTAGCTACGAGCTCGCGAATTTTAGCATTTGGCGTTTCTGCTTTTTCGGCGCGCCGCTATTTCTCGTGCCATTATACTCCTTCTACCTCGGCAAAGCCTCTACAAGCGGCCTTGCCCAACCTTGCAACACTGTCCGTAACTTATCGATACTACTCGGCGAGAGATATGTGCCCAACTTTTTTTATATTATTCGTGTACACTTTTGAGCTTAATTGCCGGGCATTATGAGGTGAGACATAAATTGCGACGATACATTTATTATATATTTATTTCGCCATATTTTTATAAATCCAGTCACACGCTCTTTTACCATTCTATAATTCTTAATTCGATTGCACATTATAATAGAGGATATTATTTATAAATTCATTAAAATCATATTCGTCATTGCTAATGTAATAAAAGATTAATTAATTTTGGAATATATTGTCAAGTATTGAAATGTAAAATTGAAAATGCATATTCGTTTATAGATCAATGAGCTTACATTAGCCTCTGTGTGACGTTTGTTTGTTTGTTTGTTTGTTTGTTTTTTTTTTTTTTTTTTTTTTTTTTTTTTTTTTTTTTTTTTTTTTTTTTTTTTAAATACGGCTCCTTATTGACGAGGTTAGAAGAATGTATAAAGAATTTTAATAAATAATAATAATTTGATTACATTTTATAATATCGATTACAACGAAATTTTAAAAACTTTAAAGGAATAGATAACATTTTGGTATTTTTAAGGTGTGTTGATTTTTTTTTATTTAAAAATTTTTTTATCCATTTATTTTTATCCATCGTACAGATAGATTAGCAATTGCTTGGCTATAGAATGCATTATGCAAGATTATTTGATAATTTTATAATTTTATACCAAGCATTTTAAATGTAAAAAAAATGAGAATATTGTAAAGTATTTTATAGCACTGCAGATTTTTATATTCTAATGGCACCATAGACATATTAAAATATGAAAATTTCGTAAGCGCAATAATTTAGATAAATATTACATTTACTAACAAATGGCATGAAATATTCATTTAATGTTTTTTTTTCATACATCTATAAAAGTACTTGTATCCATTATTTGATGCTATTATTATTATTATTATTATTATTATTATTATTATTATTATTATTATTATTGTTATTATTATAATCAAAAATATTAATATCTAAAAACAATAGATTAGAGAAAACAATAATTTTCTTTTTCTAATATTTATCCATGTATCTTACATGTTTTATTTAAAAATTTGTAACTAATAAATTTTTTTTACGAAAAATATTTGATCAATATTTATCTACCACGTGTTTAAATTAATTTTTTAAAAACGTTAATAAAACACTAATTGCTAATTCAACATTTTTTGAATAATATTCATTTTAAGGGGATTTTTATTCGAATATATTTTTTAAATATTCGCAAAAGTTTAAGAGTTAGTTAGTTATATGTAAATATTTTTTCATTTTTCGATATTTAAATTATTAAATTTATTCAAACTAATCGATATTAAACGGTATTTGATAAACTTATTGGTTATTAGTAAAATTTTATGGCTTCCTTTAACACGTCACAAATATAATAATGCAATATTTGATTATTCAAATTTTATAATACATTATTATTACATAATAAACAATATTAAATAGTACAAATCATATCTGCATTGATTATAGGAAAATACTTCATTAGAATATTATCATTACGAGAAATAAATGCGTATAACCATATTAATTAATTATAGCATAATTTTTGGTAAGTTTCCGAGTTTTGAAATGGAAAGTTTTAGTATATATTTGACAACAATTATAGTTTGGCCAAATTGGTGTCTATCCACAAAAGAGGCTTTTCCCTATATCTATAATTGAGAAAAGCGACAGATTCGGAAAATATATTGAGGAACTGGCCTAAAGAAGAAAAGCACTTCTATAGAATCTAACAGAAGCTCAATTATTGATCTTCGACATATCTTGCATAGAATCACAATTTACTAGATGAGTTCGATAGTTGTGAGCAACTATTCTCACTTTTCTAAGTCATTAATGCTATTGCCTATATTGTCTAGTCTACCATCTCGTAAACCTTGTTTATATAATCACTGACATTATTTTTAAAGATAGTCTGTCTGGCAATGTTTAGTACGTTGGTTATTCTATGTTTAATTAAGTCTTAAGAGTGCGAAATATTTTCGTTTAATTCACTGTGCTAGAATATCTCGCTGTTTAGCCACTTCTACATAATTATGATATTGATTCTAAAGAATAGATACATTTTAATTAGACGTTTAACGTTTTATTTCATTTTCATTTCAGAATGCAAATGGCGTCATTAATATTTTATTCTATATAAATCAAGTTAATCAAGAAATATATCAGAACCAGTTGATTTTTACCGATTCATCTTAGGCATATAATATGGAAAAAAAAAAAAAAAAAAAAAAATGAAAAACATCAGCTATAAATTTAATAATAAAGTATACTGGATAAACGTGTCTACAGAATATTATTACTCGTAATGTTTTCGGCTTATTATAAAAACTTTAACAGTTGTAGTATACCTATAATTCACTTAAATCAATAATTACTTTTGCATAAAAGGAAGGAAATGTGTGTTTTATAATGATATACTAAAGTTTCTTAATATATACGGCTTTATTCTACTATGCGGGCGTTTTATGACTTTAATAATTTGTATATATTTTGAATTAAAAATATACTATTATTAAATTCACTATTAATTCCATGAATTTATGAATATTACTCATCGTCCTACCTACAAGGCAAATAAGCAAACTTAACAATTAACCAAGAATATGTCAATTTTTTAATAATTACATTTACGAAAATATATTCTATACTTAAAAAATGTAAATACTCAATATTATACGGATTTAATGATCAATGAACTTTCATTTTAATTTACATTAGAATTTTTAATAATTTAATGCCACTTCTACATTTGCAACCATCTCCTCGTACGAACAAACACGAATGCAAATATATATGTAAAAATTTTATCATCTTCACCGAAGTAAAGAGATTGAGAGGTATTGTTATTTATGTGAAAGTAATTTCGACGGTTGAAATGCTTTTTTACAATGGTAGTTCCAATCGCATTATCCTGCGATCATCCATCATTTATAGATGAAAATTTCATACGTTAATAAAAAAAAAAAAAAAAAAAAAAAAAAAACAACGGCAAATAAATAAAACTTCTTTTCTTTGGCTTACATCGATGTCAACGATGGTCAAGGTCATATTGGTTTTGTAAGAAGGCTTCTCCGGTGTCGAGACAACTTTGTATTTCCTGCCCTCGTAGATCATTGCACTGTCGTCTCTTGTCCAGTAATTCAAGGACGTCGGATGAGCCTCCGTGTGACACTCGAGGGTAATGGAGTAGCCAAGGGGTACGCCGACCAACTGATGGGGTATCCAGAGCATTGGAGGAACTGAAACAGAGACGAGAAAATTGAGGATTAGGCCAGTGCGTGGATTAGAAGTCAGGTGCTCGTCTATCGAAGGCTGCGATTGTATTTGTGCCGATGCGAAAACAGTAGTGGGAGGAGCAAAAGGCGAGGTATTTCATATGCAAGGGTATGAGAAGTGATTGATTGACTCATAAATGTTTCAATTACCGGTAGTACACGATAGGCATAGTGAATCGATATACCTTCGTCGAAGCTCTATAAATTACGGACCTGGTGCTGACCTGTTGTTTCCGAGGGCTTGTTCCATTCAATCACGGCACTCGATATTATTCTTCTTTAAAATATCTAACATCTTTCGAAACGTTTGACAAATGCAGAAGAACCCAACAGACATATTTGTTGAACATTTTTTTTTTTTATTTTTACATTCCATATTTACAAGTGAATTAGTGACTTGGAAATTGCGATATTTGAGAGAAAAACTCAAGATATTTGAAAACTCAAGATAAACTCAACACTCAACTAAAGCGCATAAAGATAGATATCCGCTATTCAGGATATTAATTTATTCATTTATTGAGATTTATTAATTTTTATTAAGATTATACAATTCCGTAAATTAATTATGCAGCTATAATGATGCCGTATTAGGTAAAAAAATATTATGTTAAAAGTTCACTTATCTATCATTCAAATTTTCGCACATTTGAAAGTTGACGACATTTTATTTTCATGGCTAACAAATTGTCAGGCTATATTTGTTTGAAAAATTTTAAGATCCACTCGATTTATTTAACTCGATGTTTACTTATTTTCTATATATACATCATGCGTTATAAAGTTTTTCCGTGCTTCGTAAATGGGTCACTAGCGAAAAGGAAAGAAAGAGAGAGAGAGAGAGAGAGAGAGAGAGAGAGAGAGAAAGAATCTCAATAAAGTAACAGATGACTCAAAAAAGTATATGAATAGATGTAAGGAGACTAGGAAAGTGATTATTGGCGGACTTTACCGAACAATTTATGTTCATTACTCTCTCTCTCTCTCTCTCTCTTTCGCTCTCTTTCGCTCTCTTATTCATCATCTTATACTTGACGCCTTCAACTTCATCTTCTTTCGATTTATTTCGGAATCATATTATTCATCATCTTATACTTGACGCCTTCAACTTCATCTTCTTTCGATTTATTTCGGAATCATATTTTCTTTTCTATAAATTGTATTTATTCTGCTTAGAGTGATCAATTGGCACTTGCTTGCTCATACGCATTGAAAAAATAAAGATGCAACCTGTATCCTCTGCGTCTCGATTTTAATATTATTGATACAGTGAACCTTTTTTAAGAATATTGAAAAGCGTGATATTGGAAAAAATTCTATTAATTAAAGAGAAACAGCAATGCACTATTTCAAAATCAGAGTTGAAAAATTTTTGAAGTAATTATTATTATTATTTTTGTAAGCTTTCAACCACCTTTCAATTTATATTTATTTTTAAATAAAAATTTTTGTTATCCTCGCGATACCTTATTTATACACAAATTTTTCTGAAATAGGATTTAGAAGATAGAGATACAATTTATTTAGTTACAGTTTTAAATTTTCGTAATACAAAAAAAAAATAAGTTTTAAATTTAATTTTAATGCAGTTTATCGGAACATTGAAATGGCAATAAAAATTTTGAGATAATTAACTTACGAAGCCACAAAAATTTAAATAAAATTAGATTTTTGCAATAGCACATAAATAAAAGATAATTGCCATTAAATAAAGGCACGTGCACGCACGCATGCACGCACGCACGCACGCAGCCATGCAAATGCACACATACCTACATAAATGTATGCATAATGTACATTAAAATTCAAAATTACATTTACACTTACTTATAATAAACTGGTATTTAAATATTTAATTTAATTTAATCTTTTTAATAGAAAATTTTTCTACTGGCTTTCGGTCAGGTAATTTGAAAAGGTAGATTTTCTATTATTATATTATGTTATTAAAGATTTATTTACAATTTGGAATGTTATTGTACAACAATAAAATCTATGGAGTATTAATAAAAACTTATTACAAATACAATATAGGATATTGTGTAATGCAATTATTGGTTTTAGTTATAAAAGATTCGCATAATTCATGCAGTCGTATTGGTAAGGGAACATTCATGGAAAAGTTATTTGTGCTTAAGATTCTTGTTTAGATATAGCGAAACAAACGATCACATTGGATTGAACGATAATCGCGGCGAAAGCACGACAAACTTTTACTCCTTTACGTATGAAAAGAATTGCGACTCTGGGTTTCCTTTTGTAAGAGTAATATTTTTCTAAAAGTTTAAGTTTTTTATGCTAAGGTTAAAGCAAGTAGGGAACGAAGCTAGAATTTTTTTTTCGTCTTATCTCTCTCTCTCTCTCTCTCTCTCTCTCTCTCTCTCTCTTACTCATCTTACGCGCGTACTGCTCCTTTTTACCTTTTTTTTTCTTTCAGAGTGCAGATATCGCAAGCCTCTTTTCGCCCAACTCCTTGTTGACGAGTGGTAAGTTACGTAAAGGAAGCGCCGTCTCCGATGGAGCAAAGGGGATCTGACACCTTCTTAAAATGCAAAACACTCGCACAGAGTCTGCGAGTGAGAATGGAACCGGAGAAAAATGGGTGAGAGCGAGAGCGGGGAGATGCGGGGAGAATGAGCGAGAGCGCGAGATGGCAGAAAATGAGGAGGATGCAGCACTATGAGGACGAGATAGTCAGGTGACGACACGTGCCAAGTTCTTATTGCGGAGACATTGTGCCTTGTGCCTTGACTTAAGAGATATTCGAAGTGATTTCCCTTTACGACATGGAAAGGAGGTAAATCAATAGGAATCACAGGCAGAACATATTATCGATCTGTTTCGACTGGATAGTTGAAGTTTGATGGGAGCACGGTAGACACATACATGGAGAGAGAAAGAGAGAGAAAAAAAAGAAATAAAAAATTACAATACCTCGATATACTGAATAAATGTACTTTATATCATAAGAATAAATTTCTTGTAATTTAGTATTTTATATCAAGAAATTTATATATTCATATCTGATGACATTTATATATTCATATATTCACATTTGACTCGCGATAATAATAAATTGAGGCACAATTTTTAATTTGATATTTGTGTGTCGCATATTTCAAGTTTTTTTATTCATTTTTTTCATTTTTTTTTATTTTATTTTTTGTTTTTACAATAATTCACTTAAATTTAATTTTAATTGCTCACCTACGATAAATTCTATTCGATATTACTAGATTTATACTAAATTACTAAATTTATATTGTCGACGTTATAAAAGTTATAAAAAAAGTGTGCAAACGTCTCCACAATACAATATTCCCAATATTCTTACCCATTAATCTTTTCTATCCACACTTTCAATCCAATCCAATCCAATTCTATCTATAATTCTTAATACAAATCAATCATTCTCTTCAATAAATTGCTCATAATTGCGCTATTTTACATTATCTTTAATTATCTCCATTACGGCCTTAAACACCTCACGTATTTATACAAGAGAGAGAGAGAGAGAGAGAGAGAGCTCGATTAACCGCATCATATTCTATCAATTTACACACTGAAATACTTTAACTCGTACTGGATACTCTTTACAATGTCGGAATCTATAAAGCCCGAAGTCGAGGGAATAATTCGCTTGCGGTTGGCAGCTGATTGACATTAGCGCAATCATAAATACCTTCCTTAAATCAGAGAAAAGGAGGAGATTATCAATCAAGGCGGTCGGTCTTGCGAAATCCGCGAAACAAAGTAAACCTCAGGCCGTCGTATTGTCACGGAACTCGTTATGCTCGACCTCACGGTTCGTTAGTCGGCGCCGTGGAAATCATCGGCTGAGCAAAGAAAAGCCTCGGTCGGATGAGATTGGCGGCGGATCGCGAAAACGCAAACGATCCCGGCTGAAACAATGGCCGGGGTTTCCGTCTGGTGAAGACTGCGCTCGGGTGGCGGGGGAGGGGTGGGGTGGGGAGGGGCGGCGGAAGTCAAACAACGCCGAGGGATTCGTGACTGGGCCATTATACTCGGTAAGTAACTCTTAAATTCGTCACCGCAGCCCGCGGCGCTGTGTCTCGCTCTCTCGGTCGGGGCCCCAGGAATCGGAGGCAACGCGCATTTCGCATGGGGATCCGTTGCTGCTCCCAATTATTTCGCGATCACGCCCGACGTTATTAAGTGCCGAGTATCTAGCTCCTTGAAAACGACAAAAGCCATTAAAGCCTTAAGTTGGCCTCGACGTCCTTTCCCCGACATTGGGGTAGCGAAGCATACGTCGATACGCCTTGCCCATTCGACCTGACAATTTCGGCCGATACGAGATTAACATCTCACGATTTTGTAGCTCCTTTATTAGTAACTACTTTCTCCCTGCCGGCTACATCAAATGAATGGACGTAATGCCTAATGGAAATAACGTAGAGCGATGGCCGTGCAATTCTACGTCGATAATAATAATCTTTAATAAAGGAACGTCGAGTACACGGGACGTAAATGCGAAATAATCCCGTGGCTTCGGAAACAAGGTATTCTCATCTAACGGCGGCTCGAAAAAGGCACCTCATCCTGGACTACTGAGCCGGGCGGGCGGTGGGCGACGGTTGGTACGAGCAACTTTCAGCTGCCGCGGAATTCCCATGGAATTTTAATCCCCTCGTTCGCGCGAAAAGTCAGGACTCGCGCGAGAGTTGGAAATTCATAAGGCTCGGGCTCGGATGCGGTCTCCCTATGTTCGCCAATAACTACGATGAGGTATCAGGAGAAGTTCATTTCGAGGCAACGAACAAGGACTGTGCTTCCTACTCCCTGTCAACGTCTCTCTCTCTCTCTCTCTCTCTCTCTCTCTCTCTCTCTCTCTATCAAATTCTCTACTCCCACGCTCTATACTCCTTCAATCCCACTGCCACAAAACTCACTGCCCCATCAACTTGTTCGGCATTTCCCCCGTTTTTCTTTAACGTGTAAAA